TATATTCAGTTAAATTTAAGAAAGGAGCAGAGGTGGAAGACAAATGGGCAGCACACACTTATCTGGTTTGTCTTTGTAATCACAAGGGATCATGGAAGCTTGATGACTAGTGGAGATGATGAACCATGTCCTTAGTCAGCCTCAGACCCAGAGGAGGAGACAGAGATGGAGTTAGGGCATTGTATTTGCATTCATTAATATGTATGGGAATGTGTGCTTTATTCTATGCTGTTTGTCTGCTTGGATAATTTGAAAGGGCAATTTATTGTAACCAGATTTGCTTACTGATTGCGAAAAACAACTTTGCTTTTACTGAGAATGAAGGAACCCACTAAAATATTTAATGACTTAATGAAGAAAGATGTTGATGTTGAATTTACTGAAATAAAACCTGAACTGTGGATCAGTTCTTTACATCAAACATGAAAAAAACGTCTGCAGGGAAATTAAATTAGTGATTTTAGCTTCAGAATAATATTACAATTTTTTTTTAATTACTATGTAAACAAGTATAGTGGTGCTCTTATAAACAGGTCATTTCATTTTAAAATCAACCAATTTGGATAATCATTAGAAATGTTCTTGTGAGGTGGAGAGTTCGATCCCCAGATAAAGAATTTTAGTGTGTTTCATCCTGTTAATATCTAAATAAAACAGTTTTTTGGTATTTGGACCTAAAAGAGATGTCCACTTTTCTTGTCTGTTTTATTCATAATCTTTATGATAACCTATTCAGCAAAATTAATAGATATTTAACATTTTTCTTCTATTTTGAACATGAAAATGAGTCTTTTTGCATATTTTGTTGAGTTTTTTTTTTTGTTCGGACCCTCCCCCATCTGGTTCCTATCTCAGCCATCAGGTTTTAGGAGGATCGACAAGAAGACATCCAAGTTATTATGTTTGGATGCTGGGCATTAGAGTGGAGCAGGTGCACCATTCAGAGTTTTTTGGCGACAAAGAGGTGTGACCTTTCTCTAACAGTGTTTAAAGAGCAAGCCACCCCCAAAGAAACTTTTTGTTTTCGCCAATAAACTATATAGTGTCTAGCCATGCTGTAGACACTAGGGGTTGTATGAACTAGTCGACTAGTCAACTAGTCGACTTCACTGCTCTGTAGTGACTTTTTATGCCTTTCAACGACTAGTCGCTGTCACGTGATAATGAGCGACAAGATGCAGTCCTCGGAAAAGACAGCAGGTGATGAGCCCCTGCGCATCGGGAGGCAACTCGCTGTGCCAGAGCGTCGGCACTGACACACGCCGTAAAACGGACATTTAACCAAATTGTGACGTTTACCCTCTTGCAATTTAACCTTCCACTCACCCCCATCCTAACCTTAACCAGCGTACACATGCAAAGCTCTGATCGCTGACGCGCTCCAGACATCTGCGTCCTGAGCACGGCCACAGTAATATCAAATTAGTTGTCGCTACCTCAAAAACAAATTTAACACGCGATCATTCATGTCGGCTCATTTCCTTTGATGTTTTCTGTCTTTTATTTTGTGCCTGATGCGTTTCGCTGCTGTGGAGCGGGGCGCATCACCTGTTTTGTCCTCCAATAACTTCACCTCACTGATGCGGTCGGCGAGCAGCGCGCACTTCGCTGTTTTTGCGGTCGGTAGATCTTTTAGAACTGCAGTTCAAAGGTAACTCATAAGGTATACATGAACCCAGGTAGCAGTTTCTCTTTAGGATTGAGAGGAGATGCAGGAAGATAATAAACAGATACAGGTCAGAAAAATAGTCAAATAAAAACAAGTTAGTTTTTGTACCTGGTGGTTGCAACAAACAGACACCATTGAAGGTAATCAGAAGTGAGGAACAGAAAATGAAATAATTATTTTAATGTTTAGAGCAGCAGGAACTCTGAGAGGCTGCAGGTGCACTGCGCATGGGGAGGGGGAGAGAGCTGAAGTGGAGCAGTATAGAGGCAGAAACTACCGCTGTTAAAAGAGATGTGTTTAACTTTGAAAATGTGGGCGCAATTTTAATTGTCAAAAACTCCAGCAAACCCCCCCCCCCCCCCCACGCACCGCTTCAGGTGTATGACGTCATCAACGACTAGTCAATGTCGACTCGATTTTCATTACTTGACAGTCGACTTTAAAAATAATTAAGTCGTGCAGCCCCTAGTAGACACATGTAACCAATAATTTGGCACTTTAGTGCATCTTAGTAAAAATTTAAATTTTTTTTAGCCTAAAACTGTCAGTGTTGCGCCCCCTTCGGGTAAAAACTCTGCACTACATTTGAATTTAAATCTACCATTGCTATTGGTTAAGAGGTACCATATGACGTCAACTGGTACGTAAGATGTCACAATGCCGATGTGAGCCTCTGTGTGTGTGTATTTGTTAGCGGCTCTGCCCTCAGTCTGCAAGGCAACAGCATTTGTTGCATTTTTCAAACAGGAAGTGGGAGTGGAGTAAGACTCTAGTATGTGGTGACTAACTCTTTAAAGCGATGTCTGATGTTAATGATGATTAACAATATTATGGCCAATACTGGCATCAAATATCAGTAATTATGTTAACATTTGCATATCGTGCACATATTATGCATCAACCTCTTCAGCTGCTTCTCCTCTCACTCAAAATGTTTAAACATGACGCATCACAGATCTACTTTTTGATTGTAGCTGTCATATTTGGCACAAATAATGTTTACGATTTAAGTATGAGTGACAGGAGGTATGTGAAACCTACATTTATTTAGTCGTTAGTTTTTCTTTTTATGTGGGGGGACTTCACATATATATTGGTTTTGGTTAAAGCCGTATCGGAAATTAAGAGTTAAATTATGAGTAAGAAAAATTATTTTGAACATCCACAAGAATTTGTACATCCACAACAACATACTCGTTAAAAATATGATCACTATAGGAGCATTACATTATTTACATTTAACTAACCAGTTAGGTCACAAAGTAAAGTGGGTGGTGTCTGCAATCATTACAGATCAGTATTTACAGAAAGTGTGTGTGTGTGTGTGTGTGCCAGTGTCCAAAATGTCGCTGTTTTTCTTAACGCCTGACAAATTAGCTGATGCGTTCCCTGATGCTATCATCCCTTGCAATCCCCATCAGACTTTGAAATCCTCTGCAACAGGTGGATCAGGTGTGAGGGCAACAATCCTCTGGAAAAATTGATGGTGACTTAGAAAGGTTGTGCTCTCAGATGGAGATTCGAGGCCAGAGATCACTGCACATCTCATTTATCTACCCAGTGAGCAGGAAGATATCAGTACTGTTGGCATTACACCTAGATCACAGTAGGAAATAGGAAATAAAATGGCACTGGTCACTAACACAGTAAGTGAATCCGCTTGTGGGTGGCATGCAGACATGTAATGAAAAGAAAAAAGAACTAGTCTGATGACCTTCTTTTTTTGAAAGGAGCTATGGAAACACAAGGTTGATGCACACATCAGTGACATTATGAGATGATATAGAGTAGCTCCTGTTTCTGGAATCATAACAACTCTGACTTTAGTCATTAATAAAGAAAACTTTAGCTTCACAAATCAGTGAGTGAATCATTCCCCAGTGATGAGTCACTTCCTTTAGTTTCGCTAAATGAAGTGAAGATTCAAAAACTTTGCTGTTATTTCAATTTAACCCTTTGATGCATGAATTATGAAATCTTCAACCATGATTTTTTAAACATTTTTTTTCATTCATTTTTAGGTGCGAATGAAACAAATTTCAACAAATATCTTTTGTAATGTTTTGTTAATTTACAATTAAGTTATTACATGTCCACCTCAGTGGACAGCGTGCATTCTGAACATGAAATATGTTGGCTTGACTTACTGAAGTCCAAATGGAGGGGCTCAAATGCAATAAAGTCTTCAACAACTGTGCTTAATAGCAAAAATAAATAAATAACAACTTTGAATACCTGTCCACTGTAGTGACCATTATGCATCAAAGGGTTAATTGCATTTAACATAATGGTATTTAACCCTTTCAGGCTCAAAATAAGTTTTGATAAAAAGACGAACAACTAAGTCCTTCAGGGGTACTTCTGAGTTAAAAATGCTCATGAAACACGTATGTGGAGTAACCAGGTAGGTAGGTTCAACGCCTTCCTCCAGAGGGTTAATCTGCAATAGTTGCCATTCTACAAACATTACGTTTGGCCAAAGCTGGTTTTTGGCATTATTGTATATTATGGTGGTGGTGTTAATTTGTATTTCCAATTTCAACATATTTAGTCTTATTCAGCACCTCTTTTCATTTGTTGATAACAGATATTGTGAAAAATCCTCCAGTAGACTAAAATATCTAGCTTGTGGCAGCTGCAGAAAAAAACAAAGATGGGCAGCTTTAGTTTGCACCCAAAAATGTTATGTGATGACTAGAGTTGTAATCAGGGAAGATGAGTATAACACTGAGACATTCCTAGCACAGTTATCCCTTTTCTTTGGCTTTTTCAAGATGTTTATGCAGCTGATAATTATAACAACATAACAAGATAAAGGTGGAGTTTAAAATATAAGGTATATTCCAGGATTATACAACTGGACCATTGTTGTGCAAAACATAAATCAGTATAACGTATAAAAACATTTCTGTGTTTTACTTGAATTCACTTCTAATGGCAACAGGATTATGGGACCTGATTGGTTAAGATTTCACATTTATTTTACTTCCAGAAACACTTTGATTTTAGCTTGTCTCATTTCCTCGTTATTTTTAATCTGATGCAACAATCAAGACGAATAAAATCAGTGAAAAAAGCTTATCTTTAAGCTCATATGCAGTAAGTGAGCTAAAGTTAAATGCTTAACCACAAAATGTTAAATTCACTTCATTAAAAACAAAAACCTGAGTCTTTCCTTTAAATTTTCTGTTCAACTGAGAATATTTACCATTTTTTCTGCCATTTCTGTGGTTTTATTTTGAACATTTCAAAATATTGACTGTTTTTCTAAAATGCTGGATGTTTCTTTACACTCTGGCAGCTCTCATTATCTTTCCTGTCTCTGTCCTAGGTAAGGGCCAGTGCAATCGCTCAAGACGCAGATCAGAACTACGACTACGCCTCCAACAGCGTCATCCTGCACTTGGATGTAGGTGATGAGGTGCTTGTACAGCTGGACGGGGGAAAAGTTCACGGAGGGAACACCAACAAATACAGCACCTTCTCCGGCTTCCTCATTTACCCCGACTGAAAGCACACACACAAACACACACACAAATATGCGCTCACACAAAGATCCTTCTACTAATCCTCTGTAAAGACGCAAAAAGTTTCCTCTTGATTCTCCAACTCACCATCCCTTCATTCATTTCCTGTTCAGCCATCATGTAGCAACATGAGTAGTTTTAGTGAAGTTAAAAAAAATGAATTATGTACATATGATATAAAACAGACTCATCACACACACACACACACACACACACACACACACACACACACACACACACACACACACACACACACACACACACACACACATCTTGCTGTCCACAAATGTGCACATGTTTATTGAACTTCATGTTTAACTCTAAGACAAGCTGAACGTGTCAGCCTGTGGACTGGAATTGACTGAAATTATATTTGAATGTAAACTGTCAGTGTGTGTGTGTGTGCGCGCGCACGTGCATGTGTGTGTGTGTGTGTGTTTGGGTCCGGCTGCAGACTCACACCGTTGCCGTGAGATATATTTTCATTATGGCTGCCGACACCAAACAAGAAATGGCATGCATGTATATTGATCTCAGCTGATGATGTCAGCAAACCTCATGATTAAAAGGCAGCGTGTTGTGTGTGTGAGTGTGTGTTTAACATGGAAGCACATGAGTGTAATGCCCTTTGGCTCTGTGGAGGTGTAACAGCATCTTGTTATTTTCTCTGACTGCTGTAAGAGAGGGGGGAGGTGGTGGAGTGTTTAAGCTGTTGGCAACAGTCCCTTAACACAGACACACACACACACACACACACACACACACACGCACGCACACACACGCACGCACGCACGCACACACACACACACACACACACACACACACACACACACAGGTCATCAATACTGAGGTTGAGATTTGAGATTGACTCCTGCGCCTCAGAGCCACATCATGTCCGGTTAACAAGCTGCAGCTTCATCTGCAGCCTCACCTCCTCTAAAATCTATATCTCTGCTGATAAATGACTTTAGTAAATTAAAACATTTTCTTTTTTATTTTGTTCCTGCTCAGTTAGATAAAAATATCACAGTTTGCAGAGTCAAATGGAACAATTTTGATTGTTTGTTGTATTTAGTCAAGAACTGAAATATGTGTGTTTTGTTGTGTTCTCAGAAAACACTCTTTGGTCCCAAAATGCTGCATATTTACATTTTCTGAAGATGCTGAAGATGATGTTTCGCTCACAAAAAAGACTAATTTATGTTCAATAATCAGGTGTGGTTTCATGGTGGTTCTGGTAAAAATGAACGTGCAAGACAAATAATTATCATTATTACCAACATTAACTTATTAAAAATGCATTACTATTTAAACAGGAATGCAGGATTTGAATCAGAAGCAAGAACCTCGTAACCCATAGCGGTGTAGTGTAGACTTTAAGCCCCGCCCCCTCAATGTCAACCAGTGCATTATTACATCAAAAACACCTGCTAGCTATTTTTCATATGTTGGTCTGCATTGCTAAAGTTAAACCTCCTCATTAGCTGGTTTAAAGTTAATCCTAGATCATAGTTTAAACATTTATATTTAAATATGGGTTGAAAGTTCTGGTGCAACAGGCTTAAATTTAAACTTGGTTTAGTGTAAAAATCAAACTGGATTTTAAAGTGAGGTTTAAATAAAACCTGATTTAATTTTGATTAGGTTTGGTGCAACAGAATTTAAACTTAAACCAAGATTTAATCCTAGTTTAAAGTTAAACCTTGTTGGTGCAATCCACCCTTAGAGTTCTGCATGCTGCTTGTTAAGAAGTCAAACCTTTGCTGAGCTGAGCATCTTAGAGCAAAAAGCACACTTCCTTGTGAGAGGTCGTAGAGGTCCTAGGGAGGATATGGAAACAGTAAACATCAGATTTGAATAAAAAAAACCTTCAGATGTGTAGAAAACTATGTGAACCAGATGTTGACTCTTTGGAGTTCTTTGATTGCTCTCAGCATTTCATTTAGAATAAACTGAATAATCTCAAACTTTTAGGCTAAATTTAAGAAATTCTCAGTGTTGATAAAGTAATATTGTTTTAGATGAAAACAAGAAAAAAGAGGACTTTTAGATGGTATCACCCTTTTAAAGCAGAACTTTGGAACAGCACAACCTGCAGAACGACACAAATGAGTTCTTTTTTTTAAAGCCATGCGTCATGCAAAGCTTCTCTAATGGTGTGGAGGGGAACACAATACAACCCCTTGAAATGCGTCTTCTTTGGAGGCTCTAATAGTGCAGCCACGAGCGCTTGAATTAAAGACGAGAGGCTGCAGAGCCGATCAGCCCCGTCTTCATTAGCCCTGCTTACGGGGCAGATACAGTCAGAAGAACTGGTTTACAAGGATTTATTTCCAAATGGTGAAAGCATTTTTTTATTTCTCATGTGAATGTAAAAAAATTAAGATGTATTTTAATTTTAATGCAGTTGACTGTTGCTGATCTTTTGCTGCCATTTTACCATACATATAGGTTCTCTGTGCCTTATAATCAACATATCGTCACTGTCAGGCTAAAACCTTCTCATCATCCTCATGTTTCTATACATAAACCTGCTTCGCTGCTCCTTTTTCACTCTTATCAGCTGCCGTATGGATGAGAAGAGTTTCACTATCAGCTTGTGACCAAACAGGTTTTAATCGCTGCAAAAGAAAAATGTTTGCATCCTTGGAGATGCAAGGTTTTAGCCTGCGAGCGACGATATTTTATTTTGTATGCATACTTTTTTCCTCCCTTGTTAAATCCGAGCTCTGCGAACAAGCTGATCCATGGGATTCCAGGACAAACTGGCAGGGATTTTCTATTCCCAACACAGGAAGTCCTTGTGAACATTAATGAATCCTTTACTTTTGAAATACTGAGTGTAAGGCGACTGTGAATCTTTGTAAATGGAAATCGCTTCTGTAAACGCTGAGACCAAGACTAATTATGTCTGTGTGTGAGTGTGTGTATGCTGGGAGCAAAAGAAAAAAGCATGGCACTGTGTTATTAAAATGATACACACATAAAAAACACCAAATTGGATATAATGATATAATTTAGGTTTAGTGCCACAGGAGAGTTTAACATGTTGATTTTGGCTCAGCTTTAAACGTGATCAGCATGACTCAAACCTGATATTTGATGTGAATTATTCTGATTATCTCCTCATTCTTGTGCTGTAATATAAATAAATAAAAACAAGCCTCATGATGCTGTGTATTGTGCACAAACACCCCCCTCTCTTCCTGTTGATCGCGCTGCGATGGATCCGACTCTGTGTGTTTTCTGGCGCTGTCTGAGTAATTGCTGTCACTGTACCTGGCAAGCTGAGCTGTATTTGTAATGTGACCTGCGTTTGTTCTTCTCTTCCCTTAAAGATCATGAATTACATTAAAAAGGAAAAAAATCTGGATACATTCACTGTCACCAAGGAAAACCAGTGCTTTCTTTATTTTATGCTTTATTTTTCAATGAACACAAAAAAAGTTTTTTTTTAATTTGGACTAATATTTTCACTTAGATTAGGGTAAGAAAGTTTCCGTTTTCTTATAATTTTTTTTATTTATAATGTAAATAGAAAACGTGGAGTAAAAGTTTCTACATTCATGGTAACGTCAATAAAATGTAAAATAATATTATTATTGGTAAAAGTACAGAAAGAAAGAAACAATCTTTTATATCTCTCAAGATAAAAATCACGAGGCGCTTCACAAAAATGAAAAAAAAAAATTCTGAAAAGATTTAAAAAAATTATTACAAATATGTTTAAAATGAGAACAAAAATCAATAAAACAATAACATAACAGCTGTGCCACCGCCTGAGTTGTAAAGTATTACTTTTTTAAAGTTCAGAAGAACTAAAAGCACACGAACAGATTTTCTTGTTGATGCATCAGAGAGATATATGCACCAGGTGAAAAAAACGGCACTTTTTGTTCTCTTAATGAGATAACTACAGCAAAATGATATAAATGAATGACCACAAACACCCAAAATACCCCTAAATCAGTATGGCATAACGCTGGGGGATGATTGCAAGTTCCAAACTTAGAGGCACGTGTGGCTTTTTATCCACTGGTCTCTAAATACTAAAACACAAAACCAGGATATTTTATGCAACTTTGGTTGCCATAAAATTTTAAACATAAAAGCAGCTTTATTTTTGACTGAAGGGCAGGAGTTATGCACTGTTTGTTTTTGTATGGAATGTTCTTTATCCGAGGCCAAGGTTCTCGACAGGAAAAGGGCGGCCTCCGAACTCAGAAGAGAGGTCCTGCCTCAAGTGGAGGAGTTTGAGTATCTTGTTCACGAGGGAGGGAAGAAGGGAGCGGGAGATCGACAGGCGGATTGGGGCCGCATCTGCAGTGATGCGGATGCTTAACCAATCTGTCGTGGTGAAGAAGGAGCTGAGCCAGAAGTTAAGGCTCACGATTTACCGGTCGATCTACGTCCTAACCCTCACCTGTGGTCATGAGCTTTGGGTTGTGATCGAAAGTTCACAAGATCCACAAGATCGTGGATACAAACAGTTGAAATGAGTTTTCTCTGGAGGGCGGCTGGGCTCAGCCACAGAGATAAGGTGAGAAGTTTGGACATTCGGGAGAGACTCAGAGAAGAGCCGCTGCTCCTCTGCATCGAGAGGAGCCAGCTGAGGTGGGTCGGACATCTTGTCAGGATGCCTCCTGGATGTCTTTCTGGAGTGGTTCTTCAGGCATGTCCTGCCGGCAGAAGGCCCCGGGTCGACACAGGACACTTTGGAGCAAGTACATCTCCAACCTGACCCGGGAAAGCCTTGGGGTCCTGCTGCAGGAGCTGGTGGAGGTGGCCAGGGAGAGGGAGAGGGATGCTTGGAGTGCCTTATAGAGATGCTACCCCTGCAACCCAGACCAGTGGAGAAAAACAAAAGAAAGAAAGAACAAACATACTGTATGTTCTTTATTTTCTTAACATGAAAGAGATTTTAATAGATGATTTATTTTAAATACATTATTTTAATCCTTGCCAGAAATTATTGGTGACAGTGACACACCACCTTATTCAGCTTCTTGTGTCAGGTTTGTTGGCAGATCTGAAGCGTGACTGAGAGTTCTGTTGCCCAGACGCAGAGTGACGGAGATAACCGGCGTGGTTATCTCCTGTAGCTTTAGCTTGAGGGTTTAGAGGGCTGGTAAGCCTGGAGACTCGATACAAAGTCTGGTGAGAACGATGACTGAGCAATGAATGAAACGCCGGCACTTCCTTAAGTAGTGTCGGCGTGATAACGTTAGCCGCCACGTTGGTGGCAGGAATGGTTGGAATGCAGTCAGTTGGAGGAGTTTGTGACATCTTGAAACATCAAACTTAATTTTCTGTCTAATACTTCACAGTGAATCTGTTTTATAAACACAAAACCTGTTTCTGCTAGAACAGACTACACGTCATATCTAATAAGATAACGGTGATGAAACAGCTGAATGCCTTCATCATCTCAGATTAAGGTGTCACCAATCTAACATGGATTAGCAGGGATATGTTCTGGGTTCCCAAATGGTTGTAAACTCACAACAAAAGCATAAATGTCACTAACGTGATTTATGATGTTGATTATAATTTTATTCATCACTTTAATGTAAGAGACATCAGAGTCGTGGGTACCAGGGAAATTAGATTTCTGACCATAATGGTTTGATTTAGCATAATACAATCCAGAGTTTGGTTCCTAAATTTAGAACAGGCACAAACATTTCTGAGGTTTGTCAGAATTACAATTTACAGAAACCTGTGGGCGGTAAAACGCTCGTTTCCTCTCCCTCTGCTCCTTCTGCTGTCAGCAAAGCCACCATGTGAAAATGAAACATGGAAACATGAAAGGGAGTTCTCACCTTCCCAGAATAAAATCAAGGAGATGGATCTCTAATTAAAGGTGAGAGGTAATACTATTCTGGGCAAGGGGTTCTTATGGAATGTGGTGTAGATGACTGGTTAGAGAAAGGCCGGACTGCAGCATCTCTCCCCTCATCCTCATCCTGTCCTCCGAGGCCCAGCACACCCTCCTCGTAGATTGCAGCGCTCAGTTAATTGGACAGGGAGAGTGGGCTGAGGAGGGAAGCGTTCAGGCCCATTAGCAATCCTCCTGTGGAAGGCTGAGCTGAGAGGATCACAGACTCACAAATAGGAGGATTAAAATAATCAATAGGCTTCTCTCTCTCCCCTCAGTGCAGACGACGGGTGAAACACACACACACACACACACACACACACACACACACCTCTACACAGATATGCACACACACGTTCATCAGCAAATACAAACACACAGAGTCTGAGGAATACTAGTTCAAGGAGCAATTTTCTTCTCCTGGTGTTGTCTCTGGACTTTCACAAATTAGTCTGGGTCACACACACACACACACACACACACACACACACACACACACACACACACACACACACACACACACACACACACACACACACACACACACACACACACACACACACACACACGCCTTTCCTCTGTTAATGAGAGTTAATTTCAAACTCTGACCACTAAAAAGGTCAGAGACATGATAACAGGACATATTTACAGCTCTGTTTTTTCAGATTTGTTATATTTTCTGTGATATTTGTTAAAAAATTAAAAAATATTTGAACCAGATCTGTAGAAGAATGGGTGGAATTTTTTGGCAACTTGTCTTTTTCCTGCATGAATATTTAGTAGTAAATTTGTTTGTTGTTCAAAGTGTCATAAAATAAGCTACTGTGGAGTGATTGTATCTGAAAGAAGAAAAATATTCATTTGTAAAATGTTTTGATAGAAAAATGTTCTTCATGCTATTAGTTTTTTATAAATCCTTGTATAAAAATAGGCTAGTAGCTTCTCCTGGTAGCAATAAAATTATTGATGTATGAACAAAGTTAAATGGTTCAGTTTCCCCGTGTGTTTATTTGAGAAATGATCAGTAATTTAAAAATCAGTGTAGTCTAACATAACGTGCTACCACTGACTCCCTGAGTAAAATAAAGGCACTTAACATATTATAGGTTCCTATAAGTTCAGAGTAAATTAGGTTGTCTGACTTGGGCCTGTGCTTTTATGCAGCTCAGAACTCAGATCTTAACAGGATGAAATTAATTATGGTGATTTAGATGCACATATTTAGCTGAGCTCAGTGCTAAATTATCAAAAAATATCAAATTGTCATACTATTCCATTTAAACGTGGTAAAAATAAAACATTGACTATGATAATAAGATTCACAAGCAGGAAAAACAAAAATGAATTACTGAGGCAGGCAAAAAATTGAAGGGAACAAATGTCTACATAAATGAACATCTAACAAAAATAATGCTGACATTGCTAGGGAAGCAAGACTATATAATAATAAAAACATTCTATAATAGATTACAAAATATATGACTTGGATAGTAAAACAGATGAAAGTTTACTTGATTTAAATATAAATTGTGATTATTATGAAGAAGAAAATTTAAATAGTGGGGTAATTATGGAAGATACGCTATCACCCCTCCATTTCAACAGTCAAAGTTTGTTTTGTAAGCTGCCAATAATAAGAGATTATCTAAAAAATTTTTAAAAATCAATTCAGTGTGATTGCTATTACAGAGACTTGGCTTAATGATGACATTATGGATGATGTTCAAACAGATGATAGGAGCTTTATTTTGTAAATAGAAAAAATAAAAGAGGTGGTGGTGTTGCCTTGTTCATTAAATCAGATCTGAAGTGTAAATTAGTAGTAGAAATGCTAGTGATGGAGGACAGTGTTATAGAAATGGTGACAGTGGAAATTACTAATGAAAATGCTAAAACTATTTTTATTTGCTGCGTCTACAGGGCACCTGGGTCTTGTGTCATGCAATTTACTGACAAGATGATGGAGCTGGTTGATCAAATTAGAAACAAAACCTGGTTAATGTGTGGAGATTTTACTGTTAATTTAGAAAATCCTGAGGAACTAAGAATATCAATGGACTTTGTTGATTTAATGTATAGATTAGGTTTATTCCCCCTGATTAATAAACCAACCAGAATCACATCTCACAGTGCTACGATCCTTGATAATATTTTCACAAACAAAAAGTATGATGTTATGAGGAGTGGGATACTGATGACAGATATTAGTGACCATTTACCTGGTTTTGCTATATTTAAATATAAACATTTGTAAAATAAATATATTGCTATCAATTGCAAAATAAATAAGTCTGTTAAAGCACTGGAAGCACTAAAAAAAGATCTTAATAAACAAAACTGGAAAGAAGTACATGTCAGTCATGTCAACACTGCATATATATCTTTTATGAAATTATTGATGGAATCATATAATAAAAATTGTAAGTTGATAAAAAGTCATGGTAAAAGGAAAAACCAGTCATGTATGACTAAAGGAATAAAAAATGCTTGTGCAAAGAAAAATAAATTGTATAGGTGTTTCTTAAAATTGCAAACAAAAGAAGCTGAAGGCAAATATAAAAATATTAAAATAAAATAACGATAATTAGGAAACAAAAAAGAATTACTGTGGTGAACTATTGAATAAGAATAAAGATAACATAAAAGCTACACGAGGGATAATAAATAGTGTGACAAATAAAGATAAAACAAAATCAGTAATTCCTGATTACTTTGTCAAGGAGAATAAATGACTTTTTTGTAAATGTAGGTGCGAATTTGGCAGGTAACAAACCAATTATAGAAGTTAAACTGAAGACAGTAGTTTATAATGTTAATAGTATTTTCCTTGACAAGGTAGAAAAAGTAGAAATAACAAATATTGTAAAAAACTGTGGAAACAAACAATCAACTGATTATGAGGACTTGGATATGATGACTGTAAAAGCTATAGTAGAATCTGTTATTGACCCGTTTACTTATATCTGCAATCTGTCACTTTCAACAGGAATTTTCCCTGACACAATGAAAATTGGTAAGGTGGTTCCATTGTTTAAGGGTGGGGATAAACACAATTTCTCCAATTACAGGCCCGTGTCACTGCTTCCACAGTTTTCCAAAATAATAGAAAAAGTATTTGTATCAAGGTTGGATAAATTCATTGAAGAAAATAATATTTCAAATAATGAACAGTATGGTTTTAGGACCAAACATTCAACAGCAATGGCAATAATGGAACTAATAGACAAAATATCTACAGCAATAGACAATAAAAACTACTTCATCAGTAAATTTGTTGACTTGAAGAAAGCTTTTGATGTTATCGATCACTCGAGGTTACTTCAGAAATTACATCAGTATGGAATAAGAGGTGTGGCGCATCAATGGGTTAGAAGTTATTTAGAGAATAGAAAACTATTTGTCCAACTAAACAACACTAAATCAGAACTGCAGGAGATTGATTATGGTGTGCCACAGGGATCGGTCCTTGGACCTAAACTGTTCATACTATTTATTAATGATTTTGTAAGTGTATCTAAGCTGCTCGGTACTGTTTTATTTGCTGATGACACAACGTTGTTCTATTCAGGGTCGGATATTAATGAAGTAGCTAGAGTGTTAAATGATGAACTGATAAAAGTTAAAAACTGGTTTGACATAAACAGACTTTCACTGAATCTTAATAAAACAAATTTTATATTGTTTGATGACAGAGTCAACAAAGATGTAACAATAAAAATAAATGGAATGAACATTCAAAGGGTGAAAGAAATGAGATTTTTAGGAGTCATGTTTGATAAAGCTATCACCTGGAAGTCACACATAGGTTATATCAGAGGTAAAATTGCCAAAGCCATTGCAGTACTACATAAAGTTAAGTTTTTACTGAATAGTTCTGATTGCTGACTTAGTATAACTCACTAATTGTTCCATATTTGAATTACTGTGTAGAAATATGGGGATCCACATGTAAAACTCATACACAACCACTCTTTATTCTACAGAAAAGAGCATTGAGAATCATTAATAACAATCACTATGGAGATCCATCCAATCCGTTATTCATCAAATATAAACTAATGAAATTTTATGATCTAGTGAAAATGAAAATATTGCAAACAATGTATAAAGCTAAAACCAATACGTTACCCACCAACATTCAGAAAATGTTTGAAAAAAGAGTCAGTAATTATTTCTTAAAGGAACTGAAGTATTTAAAAAACCGAAATTTAGAACCAGAATGAAAGAAATGACTATCTCTGTAAATGACGTGAAGAAGAAGAAGAAAATATCATTTCTATAGCGCCTCTCAAGATAAAAATCATGAGGCGCTTCACAAAAACAAAAACTATAAAAAATTGTAAAAATATAAAAAAGCACTTAGAAAATGTTTAAAAATATATTTAAAGTGAGCAAGAATAAGCAATTGAGAATATGGAACAACCTTAGCAAAGACATAAAAGAATCAAAGTCACTAAATATATTAAAAAAATGTATCAAATCAAGTGTATTACAGAACTACAATAACCTAAATTAAGTTGGTGTCTGATTAGGTCTGTAAGTTACAAGAATATATAATGAATCTGTGTTTTGTTTTGTTTTGTTGTTTATCGAGAATTGTATGGAAGCATTATTAAAAAGTTTGGTTTGTCAATAGGGGTAGATAATGTAAGATATTTCTTCCTTCTGCCCCTTTTCATTCAAATTGTTTGGTGTTCATGTTTATGCATGTTTTTGTATGTTTTTTGTATATATATATTTTTTTTGACACTTTGAATGAAACAAAGAGAAAAAAATTATAATTATCAACAAATAATAGAAAAAATGGCTACTACAAATTTCAAAATGACTAAAAGTAAGTGGATTGTTTGTGTATGTGTGAATATAGTAATTATATTTGTTTTATTATTGGGTTTCTGGATAAAATGGGCTATAAAAAAGCACAAATGGAATACATGAAATGCACAGTTTTATGCCCTTCCAGATCAAGTCTGTATGTGCAAATGTATTTTATCAGCAATAAATCAACGCAGCTCCACCTATTAATAAAATCACGATTATAAAAAGTGTAAATTGTGCAACTACTTTCTTACAAGCTGAAAGCAGGTTTTAAACTATGTTGCAGGATAAATTATTATCTGCACAACTCTGCCCCCTGCTGCTCGTCTGCCGTCGTCACAGCGCTTTGTGCTATCAAGCTATTGGAGAGACGCCCTCTGTCCGCCAGGAGGCAGCCAACACCGACTGGTAGTCTGCAGGCAAAGATGGCGGTGCGGAAGAAAGACGGCGGCCCCAATGTAAAATATTTCGAAGCATCTGACACCGTTTCGCAGTTTGATAATGTCCGCGTCTGGCTGGGCAAGAATTACAAAAAGGTACTGAGCGCATGTTTTATAAGCGTGCTCACGGAGCTTTCTTATTTTGCCCAGAAACGTACGCGCTTACCTATGGAGGCAGAGGCAGTGACAAAGAGAGGAGGGAGGGTGCTGCTGAGCGTCCAGCTGTTTGATTCACTAAAAAAGGATGCTGAGCCAACCGCAACATCAGACGCAGCCGCAAAAGTCGGTGTCTGTAGGTCTTGCTGTAGCCAAAAGGATCCAAAGACACCACACAGTCCCGCCGGAGGGAGCGGAGTTTAGAAAAAGAGATATTTTTGGCAAAGCAGGCTAGCTAAGCTAATCGGCTAACGGTAACGCGGCTCACATCCAGATGTTGGCTGTGTGGCGCGCCTCTGGCTCTGGAGTCATGAGCGGTGTTAAATAACACTGACCAGCGCTTTATCACGTAGATTTAACAAAACATGGTGTTAATGATCAAAAAAGTCACAAGTATCCATTCATTAATGATGGATAATTGTGGAATTAATCACATTTTATTTAAAAAGATCTAAAGCTTTTTACGAAAGAAATCTAGTTTTCCTTGTCCACCGAAGTCTCCATTATCCAGTTACAATAACACACTTTAATAATGACTAGAATAAGAAACAAACAAATACACATATGTGAACACTGCTCATGTGTATAAAAGAATGCAGAGATTTAGGCAATAGACAGTTAATGAGATAGGATTCACAAAAGGACGATGATATAAATGCTTTATTTATATAGTGTTGCTAATGTATAAAACACCCATATGAAGCGAGGAATGAGAAATATACTGAGTTTACCCAGCAATAATACTATATAAACTGATAAACATACAGATCCATCTACATTATTTACACCCATAAATAAAAGATGCATACACAGGAATAGTGATAAAAGTGAAACTTCCAGAGTTCCCATAAGTTTGTCCCATCTCCCCAGTACATCCAGGCCGAGCCCCCCACCAACAAATCCCTGTCCAGCCTGGTGGTCCAGCTGCTCCAGTTCCAGGAGGAGGTGTTTGGCAGACATGTCAGCAACCCTCCCCTCACTAAGCTGCCGGTATGTCACACTTATTTACCCCCACCCCTCTCTCTAACAGATTACTCACCCCTTTGCCCTCAGGCGATGTATATGAAGCTGTTTTATTTTCTTTCTGCAGATGAAGTGTTTTCTAGACTTTAAATCAGGGGGGGCTCTCTGCCACATTCTGGCTGCTGCCTACAAGTTCAAGAGTGACCAAGGATGGTAAGAGCTTCTTTCTGACTGGTCTCATCATGCATCTTGAGTGAAATAAAAGTGGCAGTGCTCTGCTGCATTTAGGCTGTCCTGCTGTTTTGTGTGTAACTCCAGTTTAATTTCCTGGTAGGCGCAGGTTTGACTTCCAGAATCCATCGAGGATGGACCGAAATGTGGAAATGTTCATGACAATTGAGAAATCTTTAGTACAGGTGAGTTTTTCTCACTGATTTTATTCACCGTTAAGCTTTTAAAACTCATTCCTTGGACAGTTATGCTGTAATAATTGTTTTTCATCTTTGTCAGATAATTGTGGGGTTTTTCTGATTTATTCTAAACATTTAAACATTGAGGTTTTTGTTTCTTTTGTGTTTCTGCGAGTAGCCGATCTAAATAGGTTATCTGTGCTGGGAACGCTGCTTGTCTCCTGTTTTTACATCACGTTTAGGAAGTGTCTTTAGAATCAGAGTGGTGAGATTTAAAGATAGAAATAACAAAAGACAGCCTTTCCTCTGAATCAGACACACTTAAATGCTCATTTATAGGATTTGAACCATAAAACTAGAGTTACAACTTGAGCTGGTTCTCCTTGATTCTTGTAGAACAACTGCCTGAGCCGACCTGTCATCTACCTGAGTTCTGACATTGAACCGAAGCTGCTTGGAAAACTGAAAGACATCATTAAAAGACATCAGGTTGGTTTTTGCATAGTTTTTTTAAAACAAAAGTGTTATTCTGCTGTGCATGTATAATCCACACAGCCTTTTTGTGCTGCAGGGCTCCGTGACTGAAGACAAGGCTTCCAGCTCCCACGTTGTGGTTCCCATCCCCACCAGTCTGGAGGAAGGTGAAGCCTTGTTATGTTGCTCAGCTCGGGTTTCTTATGAATTCTGCTGCTTTTCCACTTTAGTTCTAATACAACATGATATTTGTTGGTCCAGAAGAGTGGGTGCGTCCTGTGATGAAGAGAGACAAGCAGGTCCTCCTCCACTGGGGATATTTTCCAGACAGGTTGGTTCTGACTTGGCGCTTCAAACACAGCAGCGGCACACGCGTTTTTACCATTGAATGAGTCCTAAACGGTCTTCTTTGTGAGCTCAGTGGACCTACACATTGCTCCTTGTGTGGTATTCTCATAAGCCTTGACGTGTATTTTGTTCCCTTCTGTTGTTTTTAGTTATGACACGTGGATTCCTGCAAGTGAGATTGAAGCTGCAGTGGAGGATCCTCCGAGCCCGGAAAAGCCCAGGAAGGTCTTTATTAGTTTTATTTCTACTCATCAGTCACTCAGTATATACATGTATACATATATATATATATATATATATATATATATATATATATATATATATATATATATATATTGCCTGTGCCCACCTTTTCAGTGGTGTTTGCACTAAGTAAAGCAGTAGTTGTCGGGAATACATTCCTTTTTTAAGAGTGCGGTATCACCACATGCTCATTCTACAATATGTCCAATGTTTGAATCTTCACAATCTAATAAGACGTGACTAAACTTACATAAACTCTCCAAGTGACTGTAGGTTTTGTTTTTAAATAGTTGCTCACTGAAAAACGTCTAAACGTTTCTGCTGGCAGGTCCACGCCAAGTGGATTCTGGACCTGGACCAGTATAACGAGTGGATGAACGAGGAGGACTACGAGGTGGGAGACGGTTGTCCCAAGAGGAAAAGGATCTCTGCTAAGACGCTGACGGATGAGGTGACCACACCAGATGAGCGGCGGGACAAGAAGCCCGGCAGTGCCAAGAAGAGGAAGCGCTCGCCCTCCCCCTCCCCCACGCCTCCCCCACAAGAGAGCAAAAAGAAGAACACCAAAAAAGGGTGGGCTATAACTCCTGCAGCTTACATGTTCTCCTCCTCTGACTGCGAGGAGGCACGGCTGGTTTGGCTGTTGAAAACTAGCCTTGTTGTTGTTTGTGTTAACAGACCCACAACCCCATACACCAAGTCTAAACGAGGCCAGAGGGAGGAGGAGCAGGAGGATCTGTCCAAAGACCTGGACGAACCATCGCCTGTTCCAGCATCTGAAGAGGGAAACACGGCTAAAACCAGTATGCATTAATAAAAACATACATAAAATTATATATATTTATATGTAGGGAACAGACTAACACGTCCATATTTCCTTCATAAATCTTAAGTGTGTTGTGTTTTAATGAGTTTTATTGTTTCTTTTAGTCTTCTTGTGCTAAATGAGTAAGTTTGACATTGCAGACAACACCAAGAAGGATTCTGACTCAACCCCTGTCAAAGGAGGGACAGACATGGGTGAGTTTGTTCAAACATCTATAAATCTTTTTTTTTCTTCAAAAGGTGTCACTAAAGCAGATAAAATAGCACCAAAGTAAAGGATCTAGCCTTTTACATAGCTGAAAGGCTCATATAATGTTCCTGTAAGTGTTTTTAAAATGTTTTTGTATACTTTTGAACAGATGAGCAGGAGGATGAGTCCATGGAAACCGCAGGAAAGGTATGGAAGCCTTTAAAGGTGAACGCAACAATAACGAATGATAATTAACTCTTATTGTTTGATCAGGAGGAGGAGGAAGGCTCTCCGAGTGTAAAGGGTGAACCTGTGAAGGGCTCCGACTTTCACGAGGACAACGTGACTGAGCAGACTCACCACATCATCATACCCAGCTACGCTGCCTGGTTCGACTACAACAGGTAAGGGAACTCATTCGTTTGTCTAGTTTCTAGTTTGGGTTTGAAAAAATGCTGCAAAGCTACAAAAAATACTAATAATGGTTTATTCTCTTTAGTGGAAGTAAAAACATTGTTTTGCTTAGTTTATATAAATGTACTGGCATGCATGAAATATTAGATCTATAAATAGAATGTGTGTATTCCAGTGAGTGTGTCACCATACTTCACCATACTAACTGTAAACCCTTTCGTCTGCAGTGTTCATGCTATTGAGCGAAGAGCTTTGCCAGAGTTTTTCAATGGGAAAAACAAATCCAAAACCCCTGAGATGTGAGTAATTCATCGGTGTTAAACACATTCCTGCTGCAGATCCGTCCACGAGACGTTTAGAAGTTAAAACATCATTTATGGAATATTTCTCCTCGTTTTAGTTATCTGGCATACAGAAACTTCATGATTGACACCTACCGACTGAACCCTCAGGAGTACCTGACCTCCACCGCGTGCCGCAGGAACCTAGCAGGAGACGTGTGTGCCATCATGAGGCAGGTGGAGTGCTGATCTGTATTCGCCGTCACGTCTTCGACATCACTAACGAGTGTCTCGTTTCTGTATTTCCTGCAGAGTCCACGCTTTCCTAGAGCAGTGGGGACTGATCAACTACCAGGTGGACTCTGAGAGTCGGCCCACGCCGATGGGACCTCCGCCCACTTCCCACTTCCACGTCCTCGCAGACACTCCCTCAAGTCTGGTACCACTGCAGCCCAAAACATCGCAGGTGTAGAAAAACTCCAGTGTGAACACACTAATAGAAATCTCCAGAAGGTATTTTACAATTCTCCCTCTTTCTTTGTGCACCCCATCCCCAGACTCCAGCCACCCAGCAGATGATGCCCTTCCCCGACAAAGTGAAAGACAAGCCGGCAGATTTGCAAAACTTTGGGCTGCGGACCGACATGTACAACAAGAAGTCTGGATCTACAAAGGTAAAAAGCTTCAGCACTCTGGAGGGCTGAGAGGTTCATTTGCCCTTGTTGCTTTTTGACTTGAGTGATATTTTTGTGTTCAGAGCAAGAGCGCCACAAGCTCGATGAGAGATTGGACGGAGCAAGAAACACTACTACTACTTGAGGTATTTATCATTCGTCCGATTTACTTTGATGAAGTTTTTGTTTTTCAGCTATAAAGTGGGACTAAGTGGTGTTTCTGTTTCTGTCAGGGCCTGGAGATGTATAAAGATGACTGGAACAAAGTGTCTGAGCACGTAGGCAGCCGCACTCAAGATGAGTGCATCCTGCACTTCCTGCGGCTCCCCATCGAGGACCCGTACTTAGAGGACAGCTCCTCAAATCTGGGCCCACTAGCCTACCAGCCGATCCCTTTCAGCCAAGCAGGAAACCCCGTCATGAGCACCGTGGCCTTCCTTGCGTCTGTCGTTGACCCCCGCGTGGCCTCGGCCGCAGCTAAATCTGCTCTCGGTGAGAAATACACAGAAAAATTCTCTTCATGTCATTTTCAGCTACGTGAAAAGGCAGGGAAGTTGCTGAGTAATGTTCCAACACTGTAGATTCCTGGGTCATTTGTTTATGAGACCACTAACTAACCAAGGGCTGGATGTTTTGCTTCAATAACCTCAAGCTGTTGCTCCTTCTCTCAGAGGAGTTTTCTCGTATGAAGGAGGAGGTCCCCGCGGCGCTTGTGGAGGCTCACGTGCGGCGGGTGGAAGAAGCGGCGCGAGTCAGCGGCCGACAAGATCCTCTGTATGGGCTGGAGGGTAGTGGCATCGCAGGCACCGGCCTGGAGGAGGGAGAAAGACCCGGTAGGATGGACAGATGGACACAACTAGGGAAACAGCGCTTCAACGATACAGGAAGAATTTACATTTCTGACTTGTTTTCTCTTCAGATGAAAGCAGCGATGAAAGTAAGAGTGACAGCCAATCAAGTGAGGAGAAGAGAGATGCTAAGGTAGGATGCTTGTTCATAACAAACTAAATGAAAGCTGTGTCTCTTATTTATTAGTTGTTAACTGTGTTTTTTTTATATTTATTAAGGTGAGTAAAGATACAGCAGTAGAGGAAGAAGAGAAACAGGTGGAAAATGGAAAGAAGGAAGAAGAAAGGGGAAGAGAAGCCGAAGGAGAGAGGGAGGCGGACAAAGCCGAGTCTGAGATGGGTATGAGAGGACCTGGCCATAGACAGACGTGTCAGGGAAAATATAATAAAACCATGTTTTCTTCTCTCAGGTGATGGAGAAAAGGAGAAGGATGCAAAAGAGGGAACAGAGGAGGGGCAGAGAGAGGGAGAGATAGAAGGAGAAAGGAAGGCGAAGGTTGAGCGTGATGTGGGAGAGGGAAACCTGGCAACTGCTGCCGCCTCTGCTTTAGCTGCTGCTGCTGTCAAAGCCAAGGTGAAGTTCATTTTACCGCTGCTCTGTCAGTCACCGTTTGTTTGTTGGGTTTCTTTAATCCAATTCTCCTTCTCTGTGTAAACAGCATCTGGCTGCAGTGGAGGAGAGAAAGATCAAATCTCTGGTGGCTCTGCTGGTGGAGACACAAATGAAGAAGCTTGAGATTAAACTGCGACACTTTGAAGAACTGGAAACCATCATGGACAGAGAGAGGGAGGCTGTAAGTGATGGAATTTGGGAATTATTGGACATAAATGACCTGTTTTATTCCCAAAACAACGGATGTGCAGTAGCACTAATTCATCTGAGACGTGTTTGTTTTGCTTCCAGCTTGAGTACCAGCGGCAGCAGCTGCTGGCCGACCGGCAGTCCTTTCACATGGAGCAGCTGAAATACGCTGAGATGAGAGCTCGCCAGCAGCACTTCCAGCAGATTCAGCACCAGCAGCACAGTCAGACCGGCGGTCCTCATTCCAACCAGGCCTCCTCAGGCCCTCAGCTCCAAGCTCCGACTGCAGGGCAACAAGCTCCCAGCACACCAGCATCACAGGCGGCTCCTAGCCCTGCACCACCAAGCTCTTCTGCCCCGGCTCCTGAAGCCCAACCTCCTGCAGGGACTCATACCCCATCGCCCTGCCCCCCGAGCCAGGCCTCAGCTCCCGTCCCAGCTCCAGCCCCTCACTCCAGCTCCAGCACTACACCTGTACTCCATGGTGAGTTTAAACATACAGCAGGTATTTAATTAGCATTTATGTCAGAAAACAATGGTGAACAATTTAAACAGGAAAATAACACAGAACTAAATCAAGAACAACAAACACCGCTCAGCAAAAACAGGTTCTGCAGGCAAATTACTAAACAAAAGGGCATTCCCTCATAATCCACTCAATCATGTGCCACCCACCATTCCCATTTCTCCCAAGCTGCCACAAAAATTTTTAACCTGCAAGTTCTGCACGTGTTTAATTCCCTTTATTATCCTCCTCCCACTGTCTCTGGTCAGGAGCATTCACCCCAAACTGTTTTTGTGACAGGTTTTTCCCAGCAGAAAGCAGGATTTTAATCAAGTATCTGTTTGGTGTCCGGCAACACAGCAAAAACTAAACACTAGACACGGTCTGATTTCACACACAAACATTCTCCAGTCAGACAGGAAATCTTACAAGATCTTTGGAGTAAACAGACATGGCGATGATTGATTTTACCCTTTATTGCACGTGTCAATAATTTTCAGGCAGGAAAAGTAGTTTTAAATCTAGAAGTTCTCGTGTTACCGGGAGTCCCGATACATTTCGTTATACGTATTATAGCGCTAAGGATTAACTACTGCGTGGTACTTGAGAGTACTTCTTCAGACATTTTCTCCTGCTTTATCCACAGAGCCCAGCACCCCTCTCCAAGGAGAAACTCTCCACCCCTCAGCTCCTGCTCCTCCTCCACAGTGAGAATACTTTTTAAGAAAAAACCTGAAAATCCAAATGACTGACCATTCCAAATCCTGCCTGTATCATCTGAAATGAAGTATTCAGCTCCCGGACATAAAAAAAAAAAAAAAAAACAGTTTTCATGTTCAGTATTTTTTTTCCAACAGGAAATTTAATGTGTGACAGAAAAATAAGATACACGAGTCAACTCCCTCTCCTGACTGTTCAAACTAAGTCGACTCTTGAGGAAAAAAGATTTTTCATCCCTCGTGGTTGACTGGACATCAACTGTCAAGTCAGAATCATAAACTCACCCCAGGAGATCTGGTCAGCATGGATTATCAACATGCCAGCACCCAAGAAAGACAAAAGAGTCATCTTGTGTTTTGAACGTTGTTGCTTTTGTTTTCCTGTTACACTCTTTCATGGCTCGTGAAGTCTCCAGCTTCACATCTTTGTGTTTTAGGTACGTATAAAAACATACATGTATGTATTAAAACATACATGCACGTATTAAAACATACACGTATGTTAGGAAGAAAGAAAAGCACTTTTGAAATGTTTCCCAAGGTCTCGCTAAAAAACTTGAAGCATCCATCAAATTGGATTTTAGCACTTACACCTTCCTTTTGTTGTCTGGAATACCCGCCGGTGGTTATAGAAACTTAATCAGACACGTTTTTAGTTTTTGTTTGTGTCACATGGACAAATGTACTCTTAACCCTAAAGGTCACATGACTAAAAGTCTCTAATGAAGGAAGAAGTTAGAATTGAAAATTAGAAATTAGCAAACCAAGTTTTGATGCAGTTTTTGAGAAAACGCACTGTAAACTGGATTCTGTTCCTTTTATTTAGTTTTTTTTATTTGAAAGTACTGACAGTTTAAGGTTCTGAAAAGGCCTCCGTTTGAGTGCCCCCCCCCCCCCCCCCCCCATTGTTGTGCAAGTGTGGATGGACTCTAAACATCCAGATTGTAAGTTAGAGAAGAATGTAGCTCACCAGGTTTGACTGAACACAAAGTCTTGGGACAAAACTCTAAATTATGTTAGCAACCATATCAGAGTGGATGTTACAACTAAACTGTCTGTTTTTATAATCACATTTATTCGGTTACTTCTACACGAAGGTCATATTGTTTTTTTATTAATCAACCAAAAAAAGTACTTAAAATTAACGTTAAAAAACCCGAAACAAAGTTGAAACTAAATTTAAAAACATTGTAAACAAAAACATTTTTAAAGGCTAAATAAAGTTAAAAAAAATTGTTGTTTTTTCTAAAAGAAAAAAAACAGAACTTTTTTTTTGTGAAAAAGTATTCTATTTAGGAAATTTTGTTCTCGCCGTTCCATTTTTCCATTTACATATTTTGCTCTCAAAACATTTGTTTAGTTGAATCATTAATATTATTATTATTATTAGTGTCTGAGATGAAAACTAGATTGGTGGGCGGGGCCTTGCGGGTGATAAAAGACCTCTCTGTTGGCCGATGTCACAAAGTGACCCGTCTAATATACGTTTTGACTTAAACAAAAAACAGATTTAATTTTCAATTCAGCCTTTAACAGATAAAAATTTTGAAGTACAATATTTTTGTTTAGAACTTTTTTTTGCAAATTTTCTAATTTTGGTTTCAACTTTACTTCTGTGGTTGAAGTTGTGTTTGATTTATAAAGAAACAATATAATCTCCATACTTTTGTTACTTGGGAGGTTAAAGATGGATTTTTAGATATTTTATTTTTTAGTTTTAAAATCGAATTAGAAGAAACTTTAATGCTGTTAAACACAAGGGAACAAGAATCATGTCTTTAAAATGTGCAACGCTATCCTCACTTTTTATCCTGACATTTTTTATACTTCTGTCAGTGTTTTTCTTTGATATATCAACATTGTAACTGTATATTATTACCTTTGTAGCCTGTATTTACCCTCTCCATCTTGTGTGTGTGATTAGGCTGGATCTGACTGTGATTTTGTGCGTGTGTGTGTGTATGTACGTGCTATTAAGACTTGTAAAACACATTACCATTCAGTTTTTTATTTAAGTGCCATCAGTCGTGTGTTCACCAAGTTTGAAGACTTAAAAGTTAAAAAAATAAAAACTTTGGTCTGCACACGACGCCTCACATCAGTGTCATGGTATATAACCCCATCAGATGGTGGAACTTTTGCAGTTTTTGTCCATAAAACCAGTATTGCAGTCCTCACTCCAGCTGTGAGCATACATGGACATGTTTGATCTGTGTTATGACTACATTGTGTGCATTTTGTGATATGAAATAAATGTCTGCTCAGTTTCTGTATGTTTTTCATGTTGCTGAAGGTAGCAGCTGTTATTATACAGTAGAAGTCCATTTTTTCCTCAGTAAATCATCACATTAGTGCTGACAGTAACTCTGGCAGTTTGTATTAAAAAAAATGTCAAAACAGGTTTTAATTATGAAATGTTGGAGGGAAAAAAATTAAAGATGTGAAGAGGAGTTGTGTTGAGTGGTTTGTTGACATGGAAGAAAATAAATCTGACCAGATTTTTACCATTGTGGCTTCTAGCATTTTCCGTCCATTCCCTAACATTTCTGCACTACTATTTTTTTAAAGACTTCTTTAAAGATTTCAGATTAAAAACCACAAAAACTAAATTAAACATTTTTAATTCTTTAATTGTAACGGATCACATTGTGTGAAGTCATGAAAAGAAACACAGCAAACTTCAGACCAACTAAATAAACCCGTTAAGAGAGATTTACCACCGATTGTGCCGGCAAGCAATAATACATTTTTGGGAAATGAGATGAAGTCTCTTCACATTAGACAGAAAAGGCACTTAAAAAAAAATCTACAGTAACAACAGAACAGCCTTGTTGAGAGGTAGGATGACACAGACAGAAGGGCAAGACGAGAACAGCTTTACAAAAATAATAATAATAAAAAACTGGGGAAAAAAATGAAAGGTGGAAGAGACGTCTGAAATCTTCAACCGTTCATCACCATCCGGACCAGTTCTGTGAGGAGAGATGGAGAAACTTGGCATTAGTCTGCTTGATGAATGCATAAATTAAATCAGTCAGTGGGAACAAAAGCTGTAAGAACCAGGTATGGGGGTTAAAAACTCCCTACAAGCAAGAATAAACAGATCTTATTAAAAACAGCATTTATGTATGCTTCTTTTTTATACTTTTGGCGTCCAGTTTGGGCAGCAAAGTATGATTTTCATTGTACAGGGGAAATGTTTCCTAATGCACAAACGACAACAGAGCTTCGAACCCTTAAAATGAAGAAGAGTGAGCAAACAGATGTCAGATATTAGAATATATGTTAAGGTTGGACACTGGACATAATGGGGAGAAATTGATGTTTCAATCTGGGTCCTTTTATAAAAAAAAAACAATTTTTTTTACATCTGTCATCAACAGTGAAACTTTGAAATAAAAGGTAAAGAAAAACAAAAGCAACCACTTTTTAAATGTTCATAACGTTTTAATCTGATTTATAAAATAAAATATTTGGTTTATAAAATAAAACAGACAAAATGCAAAAACTACAGGTACTTTTCTGCTCACACTCAGATCCATGCATTAAAGCGTGGCTTTAAGGCTGCATCAGCTCTCAGCTGTGGAACAACTCAGCCAAACATGATGACTAATAAAAGCTGTGGGACAGGAACACCGTCAGTGCGCATGTGATGCAAAGACAGACAGACAGACTTGTGTTCGTTAAAACAGCGATAGCTGTGTTTGTTTCTTCAGCTTATCCATCTTCTGTGGATATTTCTTGCATTTACCTTCATAATTAATGCACCCATTAGCATCTTCATGTCCCGCCAGAAGTGTCTCCACCTCATCTTCTGCCATTTTTTCACCTGAAACATAAAAATAAAAACAGAAAGCACAAGACTTGTTGGCATTTCTGTCAAACACACAACAAAAACAAGGATGAACTCTCAAAAAGAGCGTTGACAAACAGGCTGGGTTTTTCACCTAATGTGGTAAGAACATGACGCAGTTCTGCTCCCATCACCGTGCCGTTTCCCTCCTTGTCAAAGACACGCAGACCTTCAACAATGTCTTCAAACGAGCCCTGGTCCTTGTTCTTGGCAATGGCATGAAACATGGGCAGGAACTGCTCAAAGTCCAGCAGCTTGTTGTTCATTTCTGTAGAAGGGAAGTGAGAAAATGCAGGCAAAAAACAAACAGACGACACATTTCTGGCTGAACCAAATAGTTAAAACATAAAGCTAGCAGTTAAAACGTCTCAGTGTGTGATGAGATCCTTGCCTTCCATTTTGGGGTTTCCAAGAACTTTGAGCACTTCAGCATTGATTGGGTTCTGACCCAGGGCTCGCATCACATCTCCACACTGGCTGTAGGTGATTTTCCCATCACCCGTCCGGTCAAACAGCAAGAAGGCCTCCTTAAACTCTGACAGACAGACAGGCAGACATTCAGTTTAGCTGACAGTACTTGTTAGTGATACATATTCCAGACTCAAACAAATGCATCGACACCGAAGGGCTTTGAAGCCACGTGATAATGCTTTTTATTGGGAAAAAGCTTTATCAGTTCATTTGCTTAAAGTTGTCAACGCATCAGTTTAATGCACATCCAGGTTAGGAGCCACCTGACACAGAAGTGTCCTATCAGGATAACAAGCATCATAGCAGAGCTCAAAAGCAAATAAGCTCTGCATATTTGCACAGAGGAAATTTCCAACAAAGTATTATTTCACCCCCACATGTCTCTCAGGTATTTCTGTGTTCTAGTCAGGTTTTGTAAACCTGATAAGTGCACTTTAGCTATTCATCTCTAAAGGTTACAGCCAGTCACAGCTTATTTTAGAGTCTATATTAACAAATCAGATCAGTGTAAACATAATTAAGAGCAAATCTGATCTACTGAATCTACATCTGGGTGAACAGAAAAACGTATGAACTTTTTTGTCCGTTCTTTAGTTTTCCTTTTTTCCCCACTTCTTTTAAGCTTCACTTATCGTTTTCAGAAAGCAGCATTAAAACATGATGCTAAAACACGCGCGCGCGCACACACACACACACACACACACACACACACACTTAAAACTTTCACACTGCAAATACTCTCATGCAAAAATGAACAGGTTAATATCAACGTTTAATGAAAATCAGAGTTTAATTTATTTATTCGTCATTCAAAAACGCATGCCAAATTTCACACAAGTAGATCACTTAAAAACCCCAGACTGTTATCGTTTACCTGCAGAAATCCGGTAGCTTGCAGAAACAACAGTGAAGCTACAGAGCCAGAATTCATTGATACTTTTAAAAATGGGCGGCATCACAACAGTTAACATTGACTGAAACCCGTTTAGATGAACAAAAATGAGCGTTTACTCACCCATAATCTGGTCTTCTGTGAAGTCAGACTGATAAAAACGGAAGGCAGCAGAAGCAGAAAGATGGAAGATCCAAGAAACAAGAGGGCTACATTAGCTTAAAGCATCGGTGGTCACGACCTGACACGATTAAACCTTATTCTGGCGGGTGTTTTAATTTTCTATTGTGAAGTAAACAAAATAAAATAATTTTTAAATAATTTCGGAATTATATTCCAGCTTACCATGTTTATTTTTCGGTGTTTAGATGACCCACAGGAGATTATACGACTGCACTGAACGGACACAGCTAACCAGTTCGGTAGGGAGGGAAGAAGCACGCGCCCACTGATTACGTCACGCGCCCTGAACAGCTCCAGCCAGTCAGATGCGCGGATGTACCTCGCAGCATTTCTTACATTCTTGCGGGAGTGTAGCTGCTGCAGCTTCAGGGGAGACGTTGAATAAAAGCTCATATTACCCTGCCACTCCCATCTGCTTCTTTAAAATGTTTTACTGAATGAGTGGACATGTGGAAAAAAAACTTCAGAGATCACAGGTAGGAAAGAGGAGTGCAGAAACTGGCATGGAGTTCAGAAAAACGAGACAGAAAAGAACAAATTTTCAGGAGAAAAGTTTTATTATCAGTGTTGCAATTTCATTGTGTTTAAAACTCTTCTATGGTTCATACTTAATCTTTATAACTTGGATTTCATATTCTGACATGTAATAAACACAAACGAGAAGTTTATGGAGTATCCCTTTTTTATTGTGTCTCTTCACTTGATGCTTCGCCACACTGAAATCTGGCAAAGTCCAGCACTCGAGCCTGCTTACCCCTCAGGAACTGAGCCACAGTCTTGCTGGGGTCTGACAGGAAGGTCTGAGGCATAAGGCGTGTCTCAGATTCACCACAGGGCAGGTCATCCACAGTACCCAGGGACAAAGGGGCCTCTCCTACTATATGTTGTCCCAATTTACGTCCCAAAATGTTCTGTTCTCCCTCTTCCCCACCTTCAAACACAACCAGAGCACCGTAGCGGCCCATGGCCACCTCCGTCTGGCTGCCGACGCTGCCGTGTACATACGAGCCGATGTGCCACTCAGCTGGGACCTTTACTGTCACCGCTCGCTTCACAGACATGTTTTCCCCAAGCCGACCTGACAAGTAAGAAAAGAGGTAATTAAATAATCAGTCACACACCATGAGGAAAGACTCACAAAAGCCTCTGAACTCCTGCAAAACTTTTTCTTGTTTTCTTGTCTAAACAGCTGGAAAAAATGGCCCAATAAGTAAATGTGTGGAAACAACTCATGTCCTGGCGTCTTATCCAAAAAGATGTGAAATCTATGTTTTCAGTGAAACATATAACAGACTAAAAGAAATATCAAGGCCTTTTATGTAGAAATTAAAATTAAAACGCTGAATCTCTCAGTACAGTACCAGCCTGTTCTGACCCACTTTTAGACTGTTTAGAGTCTGAATGTCTGAGAACATTCCTGTCTTGGTCACCTCTGTGTGTCTGCTGTTTACTAGCCAAGTGAACTAGACCAAATTCTTGCGTTGCAAAGTTTGGTCTAGGAACGCTCCACTGGAACCTCTGCAGCCCCTAACAGCATTCTGGCTGGCCAATCACAGCTCTCTAGAGGGGTTTCAAATACATTAAGAGCTGTGATTGGTCCATAATGGTGGGCAAATCATAGTGCTCTATCTGCTTAGTGAACAAATCAGAGCTTTAGCCGCTTTGTGGACCAATCAGGGCACTCCATATGCCTGGTGGGTGGGATGATGCAACAGAGTGAAACAAGATGGCGACAGCTCGTTTGAAACGACTTTTACATCAATGTTGGACTATTAGAACTTGGGCTTCATTAGAATCAGGAGCAGATAGATGTATTTAAGTGCTTTTATTTTTTATTTTTTTTAGAAAAAAATGATGTTTTCTCCTTTTTCAACTGCGGACCGCCTCATTTACTGATAGCTGTTGCGGTGAGTATGTCACATTCATTGTCCAGTAGCATGCGGAGATCATTTGAAAGACAACGGTAGAACCCGCCCCACAACCGAGAGCTGTCAATGGAGCGTTGCCAGACTAAATAATACATTTATTTAGCCTGGCTTGCCAGGCTAGCTGTTTACCACACAGAAGTAAAAACAGAGAGGTTCTGAATAAAATAAAATAAATAGAGCAACAAAACCGTTAGCTTCAGACATCTTTATTTGTTTAATTATTGAGCTTTTATTTGTTTAGCTGAGACTATAAGCAGCTGAGTAAACTTTAGATTTTTTATAATGGAAAAAAAGTTTCCATTACCTTAAAGCAACTGAATGTGTTAGAGTTGGGTCTAAAGCAGCCTATGATGTGCTTTTGGAAACATTTTCTTATGAGGAAAGTGTTTAAGTCAGGATCTAGTGACATTCACAAAATAACTGTCAAGATGACAAGTCTGAACTGCAGCAGTGACATCACCAGTTAGACAAAAACAGGGCCTTTATGTGCAGCTTTTTAAAGAATTCTACAGATAAAGTGGTTAAATACCAGAATGTACAGATTTACTTTACCACACCTTCATGCCACGAAGCAAAACTCACTTTATCAACAGAACGTATACAGCGCCATGCAAAATGTCTAGACCTTAGAAACAAAAAAGTGTACACACTGTGAAACTGAAAACTTAACATGAACTTTCTTACTGACCTATTGTTAGAGCCACCTGGTCAGCTAGTGAAGATCCTTCACCCACACGGAGTCCGTGTAGCTCATCACCAACCAGAAAACTCTGAAAGCATAAGATGCCCCCTTCATGTCTCTACAAATGCAGACTATTATATTACTTATGGACTACATTACATATGAGAAAACTAAATGTTGCAAGTAGATAAAGGAAATAAAAACTTAACTGGTGTGTGGGACAACATGAGTGATAATAAAGGTGTTAACTGATCATGATCTTTAAAATGCTCATGAAACTTTGTCTGTTGTGAAAATGTTAAAATGGTACTGTAGAATTCTCTGCTGGTTTAAATTTGGGCTGCACAGTGGAACGGTGGCTAGTGCTGTTGCATTTCAGCAAGAATGTCCTGGGTTTAAATCCCAGCCAGAGGTCTTTCTGTAAGGAGCTTGCATGAGTGGGTTCTCTCCGGGTTTTTTCGGCTTCCTCCCACAGCCCAAACATATGACTGTCAGGTTGACTGGACTCTCTAAATCAGGTGTGAGTGTGTGTGCATGGTTGCTTGTCCTGTGTGTCTCTGTGTTGCCCTGTGATGAACTGGAAACCTGTCCAGGGTGTACTTGTGTGCCCGTGGACTACTGGAGATGGGCACAAATTCAATTCAATTCAATTCAATTCAAGTTTATTTATATAGCGCCAAATCACGACAAGAGTTGTCTCAAGGCACGTCACATAATAAAAAATCCAATTCAGGTCAGTTCATTAAGCCAATCAGAAATAATGTTTCCTATATAAGGAACCCAGCAAATTGCATCAAGTCACTGACTAGTGTCAGTGACTATACAGCAATCCTCATACCAAGCAAGCATAAAACGACAGTGGAGAGGAAAACTCCCTTTTAACAGGAAGAAACCTCCAGAGAATCCTGGCTCAGTATAAGCAGCCATCCTCCACGACTCACTGGGGATCGAGAAGACAGAGCACACACACACACACACACACACACACACACACACACACACACACACACACACACACACACACACACACACACACACACACACACACACACACACACACACACACACACACACACACACAAACCACCCGCGACCCTGTGTATGTATGACAGGGGTACAGAAAAAGGATGGATGATCAAATCCCAGATAAGATGAACACTTTAAAACTATCCAGTTAAAAACATTTATTATGACAGCTTATTTGAGCGTTTTGGAAATGTTGCATAAATATGGACTAAAACAACAAAAAACTAAATGGCTCATGTGTCAAGTGTGGTATGCCTTTCTGTAGCAGACTACCATAAAATGAATGCATTAAAATTTTAAATAATTATCAAATAAAGAAAATGCATTGATGTCTTAAAACTGGAAGAACTAGATGTGCCTAAGTAATAAAGACATCTCTCAACATTATTACAGCCAGGAATCTATCTAACAAAACCAAATAAAATGTCATCAGAGAGCATGTTTACCTTTACATAACCAGTCTCATGTTGGCTTTTACTCTGGTGGTGAGCTATGGTGGCTAAAGTCACTTCCCTCACCAGCTGCTGGAACTTCTCATTGCGGGCAACAAAGTCTGTCTCACAGTTCACCTGCAGCAATCAAACAAGGAAAAACACCAAGAGATGTCACTCACCATAAACATATAAAAGACATTTAAATTCAAATGTCTGCAAGTGAAGTTCTGAAGTCCTCACCTCCACCATCGCTGCAACTTTATCTCCAACAAACAGACCGATCAGACCTTCTTTGGCTTTTCGACCCTCCAGCTTATTTGCTTTGCTCCAGCCCTCTTTTTGGGCCTGCTCATGCAGCCAGCTTTCAGCCTTAACGTTGGAAAAAAATCACATCAATAACATGTTTACACCCAAGATAAACCAGACATGAGAGCATGGAGAGAGTCTGGGTTACCTGAGCTATGTCATTGTCAAACTTCTCCAGAGCTTTCTTACAGTTAATGAAAGTGTAGCCACTGCTTTTCCGCAGTTTCATCAGGAGGGCTTTATCTGCTGCCAGGAGCTGACATCCTGTGTGTAACGACTGCACACGATGAAGGCAAATGTTGCTCTGAGGAAGACACACCTCAATAAAGCTAAATATTACAACCTTTAGATGTCTGGGACAAAAGATCGACTGACTTCGTGATAAATGTAACACCAGCAACGTAGGACAACATTAACAGTATTAAACAAACCCAGCAGCTAGGATGCTAACAGTTAACATTCATATCAACTCCGACAGTTCGGGCTTTAAATGAAACGACAGAGTAAAATATTACATACTCACCTTTACAGCTTCTCTAGTAAATGTTCTGAATAAAAATGTGAAAGACATTGTTCTAATGTGAAGAAAGCTCAGAATGTCATTGAAGCCCACGCTGTGGAAGGACGGAAGCCACGCACAGACAAAAAGCTTTTGGCAAAGAAACTCTTTGTGTTTGTGTTTAGCGTCGCCTACAGGGCAGGAGTACAACTACACCTATCACACACCAGGTCCAGTTGTAAAGAATATGCATGTAAATTAAAATTAAACAAGTTATCACATTAATAAGTAAATAAACAAACACCACCATTCCCTCTATAAAAAACACGTATAATAGTAATAATAATAATAATAATAATAATAATAATAATAATAATAATAATAATAATAATAATAATAATAATAATAATAATGCAGCGTTGGCAAATTGATTATTTATTTTTATTTATGACCAGGAAGAGGTGATATTCTATGTAAATATAAAATATTACCTTGATTGATCTTTATTGTAAATATCAGAAGATTCTAGGATTTTTGCTTTATTAAGTAATTATACATGCTTCATTTTGATTCAGAAAAGAGTCAGGTTTATAAAAGTAAGAAATTATTTTAGTACAATTATAACATGATAAGTGAACCACACATTTTCTGTGATTGGATGGAGCTAAATGTGATGACGGCTATGTGTCAATGTGATGTAGGTCAGAACTTCCGAACTTCTGAATCTCGGAGAGACGCTTTGCAAAAATCAACTCATGCTGTTGACAGCCCACCTGGAGCGGGTACTCCAGGCCTGGATCAGTCATCACTGCGTCGCCTACAGGTTGTGCAGAACAGCGCAGCCAGGTTTCTGACTGGGACCAGGAAACAGGACCACATCAGTCCGGTTCTGACCTCCCTGCACTGGCTTCAGGTCTGTTATCGTTCACACTTTAAATCTACTTGTCTTTGTTTACAATTTCTTCCAGGGTAGTGCTCCCCCCATCTGGCCTCGCTGCTGAACAGACATTCCCCATCACACGCTCTGCGCTCCTCTGACTAAGGCCTGCTCGCTGTCCCTCGTTCTAGGTGTCGTACTCATGGGGACCGGGCTTTCTCAGTCCTAGCTCTGTCACTCTGGAAACAGGTGCCACCCTCAGTCAGGCTATCCCCATCTTTGCCAGCCTTTAAGAGTCGCCTAAAAACGCACCTCCTCCGCTTGGCATTCCCTGAATATGTTTGAGTTCGGCCTTCATTTATGTTGATTTTAATTCCCTGCTTTCATCGGTCTCTTTATCTCTTGTTTTACCCATTTGTTTTCTACTTTAATGTTTTTACCTGTTTCCCTCATGTGCCGTGTTCAGCGTCTTGGGCTTCCCGACAGGGTCGCAGAAGGCGCTTTATAAATAAAACTTTGATTGATTGATTGATTGAGACCCTCTTGGTGGATCCAAAAGTCACAGGGGTCGGCTGACCGCTGGCACCGGAGGGTTGTAGAATACACTGGTACCAACTCTTCAGTCCAGAGATGTCTCGGGTCACGACAGCTGGATGGAGGACTCTTAAGGAGTCTAATAATAATATCAGCTTTGTTCTGCAGGAACTTGCTGTCTCAGCTTTGTAGGTGCAAAAAGGTTTTGACGACGTGTCAAAATCTTTGATGGTTAAAGAAGTTGCGACAGGTGGCCGGTCTGAAGCTTTCTCTTGAAGTAACGAATCACTCAGCATGATCCAGTTTTAAGGTTTTGATGTTATGATTTGCACAGCCAATCAAAGGCTGACAGCTTGGGAGATGTTACTAAGACAACTCAGAAACATGCCTTCTTTGATATCTGATGTTCTGACTGGTTAAAAGGGCAAGTTATGTGTTGGAGTTTAACTTAACCTAATTTTAACCGAACTTGATATTGTGATATTGTGTGAATGTAGGTGTGAGGACCTCGTCGCATAAACATGCTGAACACACTGCAGTGGTTGACATAACATAACATAACAATTATTGAACACAGATTAATGAAGCATTTCATTATAATATGATTGTAATAAGTAGCAATAAACAAATGTTTATTTAATGATTATGGAGATTATAAACATGGAAGAAGTTCATACTGATTTAGGAAATCATTCTTGATTTTATCACCTGATTCGAGCTGGAGTTCTTTTTTCATTGGAGGAGACAGATAGGACCTTGGGAAAGAAAGTTGTTTATCTTTCAGGGCTGCTGAGTCTGTGAGCCCCAGCTGGTATGAAGACAGGCTCATTTAAAGGGAACACATGCAGTGTTGTGTCTCCTTTCTGACCAGATGTTGAATAGATGTTGAAAGGTCAGACTGTACCTAAACTGACCATTGCTGGACGTTACAATAATAATAATAATGTCATCCTCTCTGTGGTCTTCCAATGTGGTGTTTCTGTAAGTAAAACATTTTTCAGGCTCTCCTGTTTAATTTGTATTCTCATTTATTTCTAATCTTATTTTTTCAAATATTCCCCCATTTTTCATGATATTTTAAATTATTCATTAAATTGTTTCTTTTTAAGCACCTCAAGACATTAATCTCGAAAGGCGCTATGTGAAAAAGATGTTTTCTTCTCCTCCTACTACTACAGAAGAGGATTAGGGCAACTGAAGTTGAGAGTTCTTACTTTAATCTCAGAATTATGTCTTTTTTACTTCTGAGAAAAAAAGTCAGTATTCTTTTTCTTTCTTTCTTTTTTATTTTCAGGGACCCTAATCCTCCTCCATATTCTTCAAGAACAAGACACAAAATATGTTTCTCTCAAATTCACAGTGCAAAATATCAAAATAGTAAAGTACTACAAATAAGAAGTTTTGTTAAAACAGTATTTAAATTTGATTATTTTCTTAATCGTTTTTCCTGTTTTGTCTAATGGAAAGTTTAAATATGAATAAAATGATCAAATGAAATCCACACAGTCATTTTCCATGTCTCTGTGAGTTTGCTTTTAATCAGTATTTGCATGTTTGCTTCATGGTGTTTACACTTCTAAAACAGTATGTGACCTTAACGTGATCAGGGACTTTCAAGTGAGAACTTCATGCTTTTGTGTTGCGTGGACTCTGAGAAACACAACATCTGGTCACATTGGCTGAATAAATAAGACAAGTGTTAATTCATGCTCTACTCTGTATTAAAGAAAACAACAAAAGGGGTATATTTTACTCATGATTTAACAAAACCTTCATTATGCATAAAACCCACTTAATAATAAGCAGTTTTCATCACAGTCAGTAAGTTATTTGAACAACCATCCATCACCACAGATTGTTGTACTAGCAAACTGCAGAATGACTGTGAAGTCAAATCTGGTCCAGACACAGACCCTTTCATGTCAGAAAACAAGACCGTGACGGGGCTGGGTTCATGTGGCCGTGTCTGGATTGGTCTAGTAGAAGCGGCTATAAAAAGAAGACCATGATAACAGTCAGCACACCTTATTTCAGACTCCTACTAATCCAAGATGAAAGTCATTGCTGTCCTTGTGCTTTACGTAACCCTTTTCTACCAGGGGGAAAGCAGTAAGATATTTTAACCTTCAGTTTTCATCATGACATGTTTGCTATGATGTATTATGAATACGAATGTGTCCGGTTGGTTTCCAGACAGCTTGGATTCCTGTGAGGGTCGATGTGGATTTGGAACAAACAGTAATTTCACCTGTCAGTGCAACCCTGTGTGTGAGAGGTACAATGACTGCTGCTCAGACTATGCTGAATTATGTAAAGGTGAGCAACAACACCCTTAAAATAAATGCATGCACACATGTGTAGAAAACAATATAACTTACTGAGTAAATGTACCTTAATGACTTCAATTTTTTTTTTGATTTTTGGTTATTTATGACTCAGAGTAAAGCCAACAAAAACAGCTTAAAGCATGCTTCTTTTTCTCTCTCTCTATGAAAAGCTGTACTACCATGGCATAGTTTGATATCTTAAAAATTTGAGGGGTGCCAATAAATATACAACATTACTTTTACTGTAATTTGGCTCAAAAATCTAAACATCTCGTTTTTCTGGTGGATTTGGTGAGAAAGCTGCACAAACAAAGCCGTGAAGAACCACAGGTGACACAGCTACAGACGGCAGATGTCCGGACGAGCTAAATTCATTTCCATCTTCCTGAAATTAGTTACACTTCTGTATTAAGTACATATATATATATATATATATATATATATATATATATATATAATTTGAGACATTTTTATTTTATTTCATCCATCCATCCATTTTCTGAACCCGCTTGTCCACGTAGGGTCACGGGGTTCATTTTATTTCTTACGTCTAATTTTATTTGTGTGTGTGTGTTTAACTTAGACTTTATAATATTGCCATGTTGATTTGAATGTTTTATGTTGTTGCACCTGGAAAGCTCATTGAATTGCTTCTGTGTATGAAATGTGGTATATAAATAAAGCTGCCATACCTATCTCTGCTAGAATTTGGTTTAGAACCAAAAGCCTACACATACTTTAGAACAAACTAATTCGAGTTGATATTTATTTAAATTTAGGAGATTATTATAGCAGATTGGATGCTCTTAAAATGCATAAAATCTAATAATGACGTATAAAAGTTGACATATTTCTATTTTAATAAAAGCAAAAACCTTTTTTTAATTGCTGTTGCTTGTTTGATTTATCTCCAGCAGATGTCGCTGTTTCCCAGCAGATCTTTTTAAGACAAACAGGCATTGCTCTTATTGTTTTGACAATCTCTATTGAAGCGTAGAGCTGTCACCCGCGCAAAATAAAATTAGAGCAGTCTATATGTTTGTATATATTATCAAGCAGGCACCCCACGAGTAAGTGTTAGAGTAGTATTAAACATTAGTACTACTGAGTTATAGTGCTTTTAAATCATTGTGTCACATTTCTTTAAATCTCTTCAATTTAAATAGATCTGTGACTGTATCATGTTCTTTAGCTGATGGAGGAAATGTTGGAAACAAGATCACTGATGCTGAGATCAAGGCTCTCTCTGAAACTCTTTACTCCATGGATTCAAACAGAGCTTCATCATCAGAGCTGACCATTAACCCTCAAGCTCTGGTGCCAGACTCCCAGACCGGCTCCCAGAACGACCTCTCCTCTGAGCCGTGAGATCGCAGCTTTCTGCTCGCTAACTTAGATCCTCCTCTTTCTGATCTGTTTGTTTTAATTATGCTTTCAGCCTCTACCTTCACCTGGATGAAGACGCTGTCTTCTCCAAACCTACCTATGCTGCTCTTCTGGCTTTGCTGGACAACTACAACAGGATGACAGGCCAGGTGGAAGACTTCAGCTCTCAGCAACTTGCCGAGCAGGAGACATTCATCAAGGAAACCATGCTAAACACAGAGCTGGGCAGAGAGCTGTTTGCTTTCCTCAACACCAAAGGTAACAGAGCCGTGACACTGAATCAGAGCTCATTACATCAGTCATAAATAATGCCTGAGCCTGCTCACTAACAGTTGGGTTATTTCTTCAGCCCAATTACTGGGTTATTCATGTTGGGTTGTTTTCTGGGTTGTATATTCAGAGCTGTACCCGTATATTGGGTTATAGCATATCTGTTAACCCAATTTCTGGGTTTTTGACTGGACTGTATGTCTCTGAGTAGGTTAACCTAATAATTGGGTTAGGTTCCCACTCCAGTAGGTGGCAGGAGTACTCTTTGAAATTTGCTGGTCAAACAATGAGAAAACCAGAAAAAGAGGAAGCTTAGGCGGGAAACAAAAGTGAGCAGTTTACAGTCATTGAGCGAGAAAAGTTGTCAGAGTGCTTTTTCTCTTACTTTTTGTCACTATTTTCTTTACATTGGCATTCCTTTCATTCGTCTTCACCTTGTGTGGTGGCCAACACTAGCTTAAACACTAGCTTAAACATTTGCCACCGAACCACTACTGACGTTCACTTGCCCACCATTAGTACACGAGGGTTGCTAACTTGCTAGCTAGCAAATGTGGCTCTTAGTCTAAAGGTTGGGTTATTTTAACCCGTAAAATGGGTTATCCATGTATCAATGAAACAACCCAAAATTTGGGTTGATGAAAAAAACCCAAATAATTGGGTTAAATCAACTCAGAAAAGTGATTGGTCCCTCTAAACCCGTGACTTGGTTAACCCGGGTTATTTTTGACCCAAGGGTTTTGTATGTGTGTGTGTTTCTGATGGGGTACATTCTGTGTTTGAAGGAGTTTATACATCAGAAGAAGAGTTTGTTCAGGACCTAAAGATGATGTGGTTCGGGCTGTACTCACGCAACAACAACAAGCTGGATTCCAGTGGTTTTGAACACATCTTTGCAGGTTTGCACACAAACGAATTTAATTCATTGCAAACAAATACATTATTTGAGGTTATTAAATATGGGGTATGTAGTGTGATATCATCAAGGAGAGGAGGAGGAAATTAAAAAAAAGTGAACTTCTGACCCTGCTCCCCCTCTCCTTCTGGAAGGAGCTGAAAACCTCGCCTCATACGTCTCACGAACAAACAACTAATGTTTTTGATATGCTCCTGCACAGACACACTAGATTCTAACTGGACCTAAAAGTGGTACAAAATGCCTGTGAAACGTATCATGCGGCATTTAGTAGACAGGGTCCTTTCTACCGGCAGCTAAGTGAAATGTTCTGGACGCGTCCCAGAAGAGATGCTATCATTATGTTTCAAGTCTATTCTTTACGCTTCCAAAACGTCAAACGCTGCAGTTCAGATGGAGCCAGACAGGAAGTCAAACACAAAGGCAGTGAAAAACATCCTGAAACTTTAGCATTCAAGCTAGGTTGGTGTGCTAGCTGAAAAGGCGTCTTCATCAGCCCGCAGTGCATGCTGGGAACTGGGACACATTCCCGTTTATTGACAGCTCCCTCTCTTGGATACACAATTCAATTAGTCAGTACTCTAGGCTGTGTAAATTCTTTGTTTTGCTGTAGAGGCCAGGGGAGGGACTTGTTGAAACATAAAATATGAAAGATGACCTACTTTATATCATGCAACCGGGTCAGAAAGTCAATTGAAGGATTTTTAAAGTGACTTTAAAAATGTTAAACTGCATACCCCAGCTATAATATAACTAAATTCTTTTAGGAGAGATCAAAGGAGGAAAAGTGTCTGGTTTCCACAACTGGATCCAATTTTATCTTCTCGAGAAAAGTGGAAAGCTGAACTACTACAGTCACAGCTTTGACGGGCCAGTGAGTGTCATCAACACGCAGATTTATTTGATGTTTAGTGCACCACTGTCCTGATTACCTCTTGTTTTATTCCTCACAGTGGACCTCGTATCCCGATGTGATGGGGCTGCAGTTCATGTGGGATGGCTACTACAAGCAAGTTGGCTCTGCAGTTATTGGCTGCAGCCCTGAGTTTGATTTGGCCATCTACAGCCTCTGCTACATCGCTCGGCCCGGGAAACAGTAAGTGAATGTGATGAAATCAAGCAGTACTACGGTATTTGCATTTGCACCACCACACTTTGGGTTGGTTTTAAGCTGTGAATTTACAAATTGACAACAAACTTCCCTCTTATGGTCAAAACTAAAAATAAAAAATCTGCCAAATGTAGTTTTGCAAATAGCAAAGTGAAATAGCTTGTTAGAATTAGTTCATTTTAATAAAAGTTAAAACATCTCATGAATCCTGAGTGTGTTTTTGCATAAGCTGCTCTGATTTCAGTCTTTTCTTTTTTCAGTTGTTACCTAAGCCTGGGAGGACAGCAGCTCATCATACAGACGTACACATGGAACAACTCTTCCTACGGGGATGGAAAGAAGTTCATCGGCTCTGCTTACCCTGTTTCAATGTATTGAATTAATTAGACAGACACAAAGTATTTTCATCTTCTGAAAGAAAATCTGTAACGGTTTGGATCAACGAACATGACTGGTGTTCATATTTGTAAAGAATCACCTCCTGATTTTTTCTAAAAAGTCTTTAACATTCAGAATGACCATTTTCTACGGTTAAAAAACCAAAAATTATTAGTTTATACCAAACATTCCTAATTAATGTTTAATACTACTGCGAAAATAGTTTTTATAGGATTTTATATGGTTATGATTTTATAAGCTTTGCCCATACATTGCTTACAAATAACTGACTTCCATGTAACTTAACTGCAAATGTTAATATTCCCACTAAGCTCTAAATTAAATAAATTTAAAACAACTCTTTTCCTTCTCTAAAGTAATCTTTTGCTCAATTTATTGAATTGGACACTTAAAGGTCCAATTCATCTTAAGTTGCCTTTGTTTTACACTTTATAAATAACTTCTAATGACGGATGTGTCGATGCTGGCCAAGTTTTAAAACCTCATTCGTGAAAAGGCATTTCTTCTTACACAGGATGTTTTTTTTTATTTTGCTTGCAGAAAATATTAAAACGTCACACTGGGTCCTTTTATGAGCTATTAACAGAGGTGTGACCAAGTCACTGCTTTGCAAGTCACAAGTAAGTTACAAGACTTTCCAATCAAGTCTCAAGTCAAGTCCAAGTCAAAGACAACCAAGTCCAAGTCAAGTCCAAAGTCAGTGATGTGGAAGTCCAAGTCAAGTCCAAGTTCTTAACCTTGAATTTTCAAGTCATAATCAAGTAATCTGTCAAACTTCAATTTAATGACAGTTATAATAAATGAATTCCAGAAATAAAGCTTCTTAAAGCTTCATTTATTTGCTGAAACAAGCAGAAGCTGATTATAAACAAAGTGCTGCTGCATTTAGCAGTACAAGATCGAACCCAGAAGGAAGAACGATTAATGATTTTTGTCCACGTCGTGCCACTGTTGTGCTAAAATATCAAGTATGCTCAAGTCATCACCAAGTCAACAGATGCAAGTTGATTCAAGTCGCAAGTCATTGGTGTTCAACTCTGAGTCAAGTTGTAAGTCTTTATAAATTTTATCAAGTCAAGTAAGAAGTCATTAAAAATAATGACTCGAGTCCAAGTCATGTGACTCGAGACCACACCTCTGGCTATTAATCTTCTATATTTTACCGTTTGATGGCAGCCAGTAATGTCCTTGATCCTTCAAGAAATAGTTTTAACTGTGATATTTAAAGATAGTGAGATACAATTTGATACTTCAGTAACTGAGAGTCCCTTTGAGTTCAAACAGGCCATCTTACTTTTAAGATTTGAACAAAAACTCCTTCATTAAAAACATAACAAGAGGCATGAAAGGAGACGGTTGACATCCATTTTTTGGTAAAATGACATTTAATTTTTTGACCTCATAAACTAGGCCACACAATATTTGGACCAGTATCACATAAAGTTTATTTTGTGTTTTCTGATGCTCTGAAGATGACGGTCACCAATCAGAGTGTTGATTACTCAGCTGCGAAACCCTTCAGTCTCACACAGCATAAGAATGCAGCACTCCTCCAGGGACATGATGAAAACTGCACCTAATGGGGCAAAACAATGGGCATTTACACACTCTGGGAGGACACAAAACTCTCAGTCATGAGAGCATGTGTGCATTTCTAATAGTTGCATGAAAAACAAAACTTAAAACAGGGGTGAACTTATGAAATAAAGAAACAAAAAAACAGGCATAAACCGATTTCATTCTGCTTGACCTGCTGTGAACAGTAGCACCAGCTAAACCTGCTCCTATCAGCTGTCCATAAAGCTGTGTGTGTGTGTGTGTGTGTGTGTGTGTGTGTGTGTGTGTGTGTGTGTGTGTGTGCGTGCGCTCACATGTGACCAGCTGGGATGGGGGTTTATTTTACTCTTTCACTCATCTAGGGTGACTAACAGGATAAATTTGGGTCTGCCGACAGAACAGGGGGACACACTTGCTGCCCTGTTTAAAGAAAGTATTACAGGAGATGGATCTGCCACTGATCCTATTGTCCACTGGTCTGTGTGCATTCATGCAGCAAAAAAGAGCACATGACTGGTTAGTTTGCAGGAAAACTCCAACCTACAGCGATTCACTAATTTTGGCCTCACAAGCAGTCTTGGTGTCTCAGCAGCGGGACAACAACGTCAACCCGGAGAGGAATTTTATTTCATTATTTTGTCACAACATATTACGTTTTCTGAGCTGGCGATTAGAAATTAGAAGAGTAAATCTTCTCTCTTTTCAGACTGCTCTCTTTTTAAAGCCCCTCGTGGAATCAAATTAAATCCCATTGTGGTAAAAAAAAATTCAATTGTTTATTTTGTCACTCACACAACTTTATAATCAAATTATAGCCGGCCACCCGCCAGCGTGTCCTCGCATCTCCCCCAATGGGCTCTCTCGTTGCAGATCTCGTGAGCCACCTGACTTTTGTTTTGTAATTATATTATCGCGCGCTCCCTTTAGCGTGTTGCAGCTAATGGCTGAGCGGGCTATCCCAGCTGCACATGCAGAAACAAAGCTGCTTATGGGGCCAGACAATGGAGCTATGGAAAAGGGGACGCCTGAAGGCGGTCAGCCAATGAGCATGCACGACAGGGGGCCTAACACCAGGGTTTAGGAAAGGGTTAAAGGAGTGTGGGGTGGACGCGAAGGAGGGTGTCAGTTTTACTCAGAAGTTGGCTCCGTCAATGAGATGGTTAGTGGAGGGACACATGGTCAACATCACCTCTGTCTCCCCTGGGTCGGTGCCAGGCCGGAGGGAGGTTCAAATTTGGCTTCAGATGCTGTCCTGTTCTAAAGTTGATGAGGGACCATGAAATACAGAGCTACATTCATTCTCTGATGCGTTTTGTGCGCTCACTGAACAATCCGATGACCGTATTGTCATCGTTCTTGCCGGTTGTTTCGATTTAGAAGTAGATTCAGACGAATGCGGGGTGTGGAATACAATCCCGGTCAGATGAAGTGACCTCAGGCTGTCATTCATGAGCTGCAGCTCTAAAACTTTTGAATTTTTGCACGTGCAAGTACACACACACACACACACACACACACACACACACACACACACACACACACACACACACACACACACACACACACACACACACACACACACAGTCCTCATGTAGTGTTGTTGGTATCTCTCTGAGGATTTCCAGTATGACAGATGGACAAAATCCACGTTCCCCACACTGACACACACACAAATACACTGGGAATTCTTAGGAAAGTCATGTTTGTGTGTGTGTAGTGAAGTGAAGCCATTCATTTTTGTAAATGATGGAGTAAACTCCTACCCCACAAGCGTAGTTAGAAATGGTAGAGAAGGGAAAGAGAAGCCAAGGGAGGATAGACGGGCATCTGAGCCACAGACTGAGAAGACCATCTGCAGCAGAACTTTACTGCTGGGAAAAAAAACAACCAGGGGACATCATGGCACACTTACTGCTTATCACTCATGAAACATAAAATTAAACATTGAATTGAGTTTTTCTTAAGTTCAAAATAAATAAAAACACAAAACAAGTGTGATTTTACAACTACTGCCACAACAGAAAAGGTGGCTGTGATTGACTCAGTCCATTGTGAAAACCGTGCTACAGGCCTACGCAACAGGGACACAAGGCCTCAGACATCACATTCCCAGGATGATTCATCTCCTGGGATGAAAACAGCCAGTCTTTGCTATTCCCATCTCTGGCTGCAGGTGTGGAAAAGGACTGGAAAACATGCAGGGGGAGGAGCAGCTCGACTGGGGAATGAATGAGGATAATCTAGTCGGAGTTTTTAACCTTGTAACGTATCTGAAACCCACATCACATCCTCTAAAGTTTCTCTGACTCTGCTTTGTTGTGGTCAGAGCCAAGTTGTTGAGCATCAAAACTACACCGTCTGATCTTTCAGTAAACCTGTGAACATCCTACATCAGTCATGAATTATACTGGTTCTGTGTTGTTCCTCAGTCTTGTTTTCTCTAATCAGGAAACGCCAGGCTCCTGCTAACAGCAGAGTCCTTCCTCCACGAACGCAGCTCTACTCCTCTGCACAATCATCAGGTTTTCTGACTTCCTGAACAGCATTCCAGAATTATTGTTTTATGAGTCCTGATTCCCTCAAAGTTCGGAACCCAGCCTGTCTCTGACCAAGCCTCCGGCCTCACCCTCATTGGTCCTTTCTCCTTTCTGCATCTAATCTGATCTTCAAAAAGCACATTTTCAACCTTAGTCCTGTGTATACCATTTCAATTTCAGCTAATTTAAACCCCTTTACCCATCAAAAAGGCACATTTTGCGTTAAATTTTGAAACCTAAACCTAGATATAGCAATAAATGACTGATGGACTAATGCAGAGTTTTAGCACTAAAATACAGAACCTAAATGTTTGCAACGTGTTCAAACTTGTTTCATTTTTACAAACAGCAGAATACTTAAGAAAGCTTAATTAAAGAGGCAAAGAATAAAAAATGTATCCCAAGACTCACATCTATTATGCATGTCCCTGACATTAAAGATTACACTGTTGAACAACAATTCTCTTGTTTTTAGAACAAATTAGGCCAAACTAAACTAAAGTCTTAATAAAAACTGTGTTTTAAAAGTTGGCGTGTTTGGGGCCTGTTTAGATACTGGAGATAGAGGTGGGTGGATTCATCAGCCTGATAAATAATTTTCCACAATTTGCCACATTTTCAGTTATTGTCCATTTGTATTCATATTTATTAAATTGCTGAACAGGAAAACCAAACTGCAGCAGCTGCAACAGTGAGGTTACAGCCGATCAAGAACGCACTTCAATAAGTGGGTTTTTAGTGTCCAAATACTCTTGAGTGTTGCTAAATTTTTATTTTCGTCTGATGGAAAAAACATATTTGATTAAATATTGCAAGAAATCAGGATCATATCTCAGTTCTAAAGCATCAGTCGTGAAAAACCAAAACAAAACAATAGTCTTTTGTACATCATTGAAACAAAAGCATTAATTTGGATTTATCATCAAATTCTAAAGTGAAGCATCAGAGCATGTCATTAAACAACCCAGCTTTGTGGATCTCGGCGTTAGGAGCCTCAGCAGAGAGATCCAAACTGTTTACCCAGCAACTTCCACCTGCTCCACCAGTAGCACGTCAAGGCGTTCCCTGGCCAGTCTGGAGATTCCTCCAACATGTCCTGGGTTAACCCGGAGGACTCCTACCAAGAGGGCATGCAAGGCAAGGCAAGGCAGCTTTATTTATAGAGCACATTTCAAACACAGAGGCAATTTAATGCGCTTTACAAATATCAGGACATTATATGAAAACAACATAAAAACACAAATTAAAATACACATAGATAGAATTATAGCTTAGAGCTAAAGGAGAAGACAAAGTTACAGTGGATATGATGCATGATAAGAAACAATTCAGTTAAAGGCTGATGAGTATATTGGGGTTTTTAGTTTCTTAGGGCCTCTAATGACCTTCTGACTCACAGTGATGCAGGGGACTGTTCTGTTCTGGTCCTGCTGGACCTGACTGCAGCCTTTGACACTGTTGACCATCACTTGCTACTGGAGAGGCTGAGAGACTGGGTAGGCCTATCAGGATCTGCTGGAGTGGTTCTCCTCTTATCTCTCTGAGCGCTTCTTTTCTGTGGCTGTCTCCAAATTTAGGTCCTCCACCACCTTTCTTACCCATGGTGTGCCACAAGGTTCTGTGCTGGGGCATCTGCTCTACCTCCTCTATCTGCTTCCTCTTCAGCACATCCTGAGCTCCTTCAAAGGAATCTCCTACCATCTTTATGCAGATGACATCCAACT